ATTCACCTTGACCCAGACGCAACCCCTGTGGTCTACCCACCGAGAAAGATTCCACTTGCTCTCCGCGCCCGTCTGAAGAAAGAGTTGGAGAGCATGGAGCAATCTGACATCGTCACCAAGGTTACAGAACCGACGGATTGGGTCAACGCGTTAGTGGTGGTGGAGAAACCACGCACAGGCAAGCTCAGAGTATGTCTCGACCCAAGAGACTTGAACAAGGCTATCAAACGCCCCCATTACCCCTTACCGACGCTAGATGGCATCACACACAAGCTAGCGGGTGCACGCTACTTCAGTGTCATGGACGCCAGATCAGGCTACTGGGCTATCAAGCTCACAGAAGAGTCATCTAAGCTCACAACGTTCAACACACCGTTTGGACGCTACAGGTTCCGTCGCCTGCCTTTTGGGATTATCTCAGCCCAAGACGAGTTTCAGCGAAAGATCGACGAGGTGTACGAAGGCCTCGACGGAGTCGTGGCAATTGTGGACGACATCCTTGTCTATGGTCGAACCAAAGAGGAACACGACAGAAACCTCAACGCGATGCTGCAAAGGTCCCGCGAGAGAGGAGTCCGGCTCAACCCCGAGAAGAGCACAGTCGGCGCTACAGAGGTCAGCTACTTCGGACATCTTCTCACAGCGAATGGAATCAAGCCAGATCCGCAGAAGATCTCAGCCATAAAGGAAATGGAGCCACCAAAGAACCGCGCAGAGCTGGAAACAGTGCTTGGCATGGTAAACTACTTAGCCAAGTTCGCACCCAGCCTCTCCAATGCTAATGCACCCCTGCGTCAGCTGCTAAAGCAGTCCAGTGAGTTCCTCTGGGACAACCAACACGACATCGCTTTCCAGAAAGTGAAAGACTTGATCACGAGAGAACCAGGACCAATCCTTGCCTACTACGACCCCAACAAAGAGCTCAGACTCCAGGTGGACGCGTCAAAGTATGGACTAGGGGCAGTGCTACTGCAAGAAGGAAAACCCATCGGCTACGCTTCCAAATCTCTCACAGACTGTGAAATCAACTACGCTCAAATCGAAAAGGAGCTGTACGCCATTCTGTTCGGATGTAAGCGTTTCCATCAGTATGTCTATGGACGACAAGTCATTGTGGAATCAGACCACAAGCCCCTCGAGTCAATCATGAGGAAACCGTTAGCCGCAGCCCCGCCAAGGCTACAGAGAATGATCCTTCAACTACAAAAATACGACTTCACAATCACTCACCGTTCAGGCAAAGACATCCCTGTCGCAGACACACTCTCCAGGAAGTTTCTTACCTACAAGGACAGCAGCCTCAGTGAAGGCATGGACATGCAGGTGCACACTGTGTACAGCAACTTACCAGTTAGTGACACAAAACTGAAGGAGATCCGAGCAGAAACAGAAAAAGACACACAACTCACACAGCTGAGGAAAGTCATACAGTCAGGATGGCCTGAGGAGAGGAGAAAATGCCCTCAGAGCGTCTGAGTTCTGGAACCATCGTGACGAACTATCACAGATCAACGGAATAATTTTCAAAGGAGAGAAAATCATCATTCCTACCAGTCTCAGAGAAGAGATTTTGACAAAGATCCATGCTGGACACATGGGCATGGAAAAGTGCAAACAGAGAGCACGGGACATTTTGTTTTGGCCCGGAATGTGCAAACAAATAGAGGACATGGTTGGTAAATGCCCCACCTGTCTTGAACGACGCCCCTCAAACACCAAAGAGCCAATGTTACCTCACCGTATCCCAGACCGACCCTGGCAGGTCGTGGCAACAGATCTGTTCACGTGGAACAACGAGGACTACATTATAACAGTGGACTACTACAGCAGATACTTCGAACTCGACAAGCTTCACAGCACCACATCTGCAGCTGTGATACACAAGCTGAAAGCAGCCTTTGCCAGGCATGGCATTGTAGAGACTTTAATATCTGACAATGGGCCCTGTTACAAATCAAATGAGTTTGAATCCTTCACAAAAGCATGGGAATTCACACACGTCACCACAAGCCCACATTACCCTCAAAGTAATGGCCTTGCTGAAAAATCTGTGCAGATCGCTAAATCACTCATGGACAAAGCAAAAGCAGACAAGAGAGACCCCTACCTCAGTCTCCTTGAATACCGCAACACTCCAGTTGACAACTTCAAATCACCAGCCCAGCTGTTGATGAGCCGCAGACTTCGCTCAATCCTCCCCAGCACCAACCAGCAGCTGCAACCTGAGGTCGTCAGCTACAAGGAAGTGCATGCAAAACGTGCACAGAGACAACAACAGCAAAAGCGATACTACGACAGGTCAGCCAGACCACTGCCACCACTGAACGACGGAGAGTCAGTTAGAATCCAGGAGCATGGCTACTGGAAGCCAGCAGTCGTCATCCAACCAGCTGACACTGAACGTTCATATCTCGTTCGCACCGCAGAAGGAGCGGTGTACCGCCGCAATCGTCGTCACCTACTGAACACAAAAGAACAACACACTGACGAGATGAACTGTTCCCCTGAAAGAGAACGGGGTGGACTAAACACAGACACAACACAACATACACCATACTTACCTGCAACACCACAAGAACTGTTGACTGACACAGAAGCATGCTCAGCTTCATATCACACAAGGTCAGGAAGAGAGGTCAAGCCTAGAGCTGTCCTAGACCTGTGAAATGTCAAAGGGTGTAGGCGGATCGCTGCCCTAAAAGAGTTCCAGACTGTAAACTTGTTATTGAAAGTTAACTTGAAATGCTTTGGTATGGTATTTGTTTGATATGTTGAGATGTCATTGCTACAGTGAAAAGCTGAGTTGCTGAGAAATATTTGTTCTAAAAGTAACAGTATGCTGAATCATTGTTTGTCTGTTATGTTGATGCAGTTGGTGCAGTTTAAATGGTTACTTACCTCGAGTTCAAACTACAGAGCATATATTCAAAAGAAACGCTTTATTGTTCTACATATTTTTTCTTTTTTTTTAAAAGAAGGGGGATGTAATATTCATATGTGTCAGCATATTGAATTGTAATTGGATGCATTATACTGTCATATCATACTGTGCTATGATTGGTTAAGACCACCCAGGTGGTGAGGTCATTCTAAGATGATCATGGCCAGAGACACATGGACATGCAAGTTATAGCTAGTTAATAAAGAGCTACGTTTATAAATATCCTGTCGTCCTGCATTTTATTATTTTGTACAAAGCATACAAAACAAGACACTCAGGTCGGCTACAAACGTTAATTTTGTTGCATCAACTAGTTAGCTAATCAAAACAATGCTCTAAATGTACATAATAGCATAATGCTGCGACAGTTTCATCAAACAGAAGTAGAACGTAGCTTTTTTATTCTTACCTTGATCATCGGTATTAGCTACTCTTTGGCCATATCTCCAATTATATTTGGAGTCATCACAAAATAATATAAGTGTCCAGGCAATGTTGTTCTGCACTAAGATGGCTGTTGACTAATGTTGCGGCATCTTAGCGGTCATGGCTAGAAGGGTTCCAGGTTTGGTCAAATTAACATCAGATTTTACTTTTCGTTGCAGGTTAGGATAATTTACGCAGCAGGTTAGGATAATTAGATTAAGTTTAGGAAAAGGGTTACAGTTAGCTAAAATGCAAAATAATTATCTACTTTGACGTTAATTTGATAAAAGCTGGAAGCCTTCTAGCCATGACCCAGCTGGTCTTAGCCTGATTCATCCTCACTTTCTGGCAATTGTGTAATCAGGGGCGGTTCCAGGCAACTCTCCAGGAGAACCCTTGTATCAGATCACGCTGGATCTTGCATCGAGTTTGTTGATTCCATCCTGATATGGTCATCTTCATTGTGATACTCCAGCCCTCCGGGGCCTGATTGGTGGCACACCTTTTCCCCAGACCCAGCTAACACACCTGATTAAACTAATTGCATTCCTAAACTGTCACCATGATCACCTGAAAAACATAAATAGTGTCACAATTACTTTGTTTGCAAACTGTACAACACTGACATTATATATTTTTTAAACCAAGTAATGCTGTCATATCTAACCTACATGCTTGTGGTCGGCAAAGAAAGGTACACGTAACAAACATGAATTGAAGTGTAATCAATGTGTTCACAGAGTTGGATCATGACTACATACGGTGGCCAGGGAGAGGGGATGTGGGGAATGTGATTAGTCTAGATAGAACAGCATTTCTTAATCCTGTTCCTGGGGACAACAAAGGCGTGCACATCGTTTTTGCACTAGCACTTCATTGCCTATTCAAATGATTAACTTATCATCAAGTGTTTATGATTTGAATCAGGTGTGTAGGGCTAATGCAAAAACATATCTTCCTCCACTGTCCAACGCTGGGCTCGAACCAGTGATCCTCTGCTCAGAAACACACGTGACTGTCCTCCTTAAAAACGTACCAACGGTTTGAACCACCCCAAAAGGTACCAATTGGATGGCTCATCCGTGGCATTTCAAGCTAGCTGTTGAGTGAGCTCTGTTACACTAATACATGATCACATAATCACATACAAACGTGTATGTCTGTGATTCCTCTCTTGACCCACCTGCCCTCGGCACTACTCTTTCATGTTGCCCTCAGTCTCATTCATGCAAGGAAGGCCTCTCCAGAGGAACACTGAGGGGGAGAGAGGGATTTATTTATTTTTTATTTTATTTAACCTTTATTTAACCAGGTAAACCAGTTGAGAACAAGTTCTCATTTACAACTGCGACCTGGCCAAGATAAAACAAAGCAGTGCGATAAAAACAACAACACAGAGTTACATATGGGGTAAAACAAAACAAAGTCAAAAATACAACAGAAATAAATATATATACAGGGATGGATGGGAAGGACAGAAAATTGATATGGTCTTATCAGTAAGGTATACCAGTATAAATACAGGTATTCTGGTTGGAAATGGGGTGCTTGTCGAGGCAAATAATGCATTACTAAACCCTCTAAAAAGACATTGAGGAGCCATTGAGACATTGAGGAGCTGAGGGGAGGATATTCAAGTGTACATGGAGAGGAAGCCATAGGTGGAGTTTCTTAGTTGAACATCTCTGGCATCCCAGCCATTAGACTAACAGAGAGAGATGCAAGGGAATGGTGGTTAGTGTGTGTCAGTGTGTGTCTCGCTGTGTCGGTCACCAGAGTGGTATACTATGAAGCAAGCTAGATCTACTCAGGCTTTTATAAAGCTAGCCAGCTTCAGTTAGCTTCACATTACAGCTCATGTTTTATCCGTACTACGATGGTGGATATTGCTCGTCCGCCCGCCTGCCGCCAACTCTAGCAGGCTTGTAACAGTGTGTGCACGTCGCACATGGCTAGTCTAACGCCAAACTCTTCATTGAGACAATGCTGCAACATCAATCCATGGGTGAGTCAGTGCCACATTTTCATTTGTGCCGAAATCAAAATGAACAAAAAGTTATCTTGCAAATTCAGCAGGCTATGGCATGAAATAGTCTGTCTATATCTTATTACTTATTATATCTTATTATTTATTGTTAATGCCGTCTTTGGTGTGCTTTGGTGTGTTGCCATCTTCTCTATCCCACCGCTACAGCTCTATGCTCCCAGCTCCCAAAGCCTATTCCTCCGCAGGAGATTGAAAAGATTTGGCATGGCTCCTCAGATCCTCAAAAAGTTATAGAGCTGCACCATCGAGAGCATCCTGACTGGTTGCATCACCGCTTGGTATGGCAACTGCTCGGCCTCCGACCGCAAGGCACTATAGAGGGTGGTGCGTACGGCCCAGTACATCACTGGGGCCAAGTTTCCTGCCATCCAGGACCTCTATACCAGGCGGTGTCAGAGGAAGGCCCTAAAAATTATCAAAGACTACAGCCACCCTAGTCATAGACCAGAAGTCCCCACAAGAATAGTAAACAAACAAAAATCTGACCAACTGAGGACAAATGAGGTCAAATGGTATTTCTAGGGGGTTTAGGGTTAAGGTTATAATTAGTGTTAGGGTTAGAATTACGTTAAGGGTTAGGGTTAGGAGCTAGGGTTAGTTTTAGGGTTAGGGTTATGAGCTACGGTTAGGTTTAGGGTTAGGTTTTTGGGTTAAGGTTAGGGTAAGAGTACAGGTTAGGGTTAGGGGTTAGGGAAAATAGGATTTTGAATGGGACTGAATTGTGTGTCCCCACAAGGTTAGCTGTACTAGACTGTGTGTGTGTGTTGGTGTGTTGCACCTGGAACTGTGGGCATGCCCGTTCTGTGGGTGTTCTTCCACCAGCACAGTTTGTCCTGCTCATTGATGGCCATGAGAGTGTTGTGGAGCTCATTACACACAGCCTTCACACTGGGAGAGAGAATGAGAGAGGGAAAAATGGGGCGAGAGAAAAATAGAGAGGGGGAATGAGAGATCAGAGCATGACAGAATGATCAGTGAGAGATGAGATTAAGAAAGACCACCCACATCCACACACACCCTCCTAGTAACAGTCTGACTGCAGGTGCAGCCTACCTCTCATTGTTGGTGACATCCACTGTGGATCATTGCTGATCCTCTTCACCTCCTCCTCCTGGTCAAAGATAGACTTCATCTCCTCCATGTGGTGAGGGGTGTAGAGGGTCACCTCCTCCAGAACTTTCTCAAAGCGGGCTCGCACCTGGGGAAGTCGCATTGGTGGGAGATGTACACATTATTACACACACCCACGTACATAGATAAAGGCAGGTTTCCAGTAGAACATCATGTTATTACAATTTTACAATATTGAGAAAAGGGTAAATGTAAAATTAAAACAAATTCGGTACTTACTTTGGTTGGAGTTGTACAGGTGGAGATCCTTGATCTAGATTTGTATTAAATTTTTAAAAACATCATCAGATCTACACTGCCAGAAACAAATAACGCAAAAATAACGCTTTGTAAATCATAGACAGTTAATCATAGGACTGGATGGTTTCAAATACTAACATTAATTAGCTAGCTAGCTAGTTATTCAACCCATCAAGGCCTTTTAAAATAGTAAGTCAACTCTGCTGTTTACAGGTAGCATTAGACAACTAGCAAGGAATCGTAGCTAAGACCTGAATGTCTCTCCAGTTTAAAACGTTAACTAGCTAGGACAAAGCAATGTACAGCCAAATATTAGTATTTCTGGCATAGCCATAAATAGCTAGCTAGCTGGTTAAATCACTGGCTACTTAGCTAACGTCATACCTTTTAGGACCTCAATTATTATTGGTTATGTCAGTTAACAGGATAGCCGTCTTCGCTCCGGGAGAAGAAGTAGCGTACAAATACATATATTCAATTCAATAACATGACATGTATGTCAATATAACTAAAATACTATATATATATATATATATATATACAGTTGGGAGAACAAGTATTTGATACACTGCCGATTTTGCAGGTTTTCCTACTTACAAAGCATGTAGAGGTCTGTAATTTTTATCATAGGTACACTTCAACTGTGAGAGACGGAATCTAAAACAAAAATCCAGAAAATCATAATGTATGATTTTTAAGTAATTCATTTGCATTTTATTGCATGACATAAGTATTTAATCACCTACCAACCAGTAAGACTTCCCGCTCTCACAGACCTGTTAGTTTTTCTTTAAGAAGCCCTCCTGTTCTCCGCTCATTACATGTATTAACTGCACCTGTTTGAACTCGTTACCTGTATAAAAGACACCTGTCCACACACTCAATCAAACAGACTCCAACCTCTCCACAATGGCCAAGACCAGAGAGCTGTGTAAGGACATCAGGGATAAAATTGTAGACCTGCACAAGGCTGGGATGGGCTACAGGACATTAGGCAAGCAGCTTGGTGAGAAGGCAACAACTGTTGGCGCAATTATTAGAAAATAGAAGAAGTTCAAGATGACGGTCAATCACCCTCGGTCTGGGGCTCCATGCAAGATCTCACCTCGTGGGGCATCAATGATCATGAGGAAGGTGAGGGATCAGCCCAGAACTACACGGCAGGACCTGGTCAATGATCTGAAGAGAGCTGGGACCACAGTCTCAAAGAAAACCATTAGTAACACACTACGCCGTCATGGATTAAAATCCTGCAGCGCACGCAAGGTCCCCCTGCTCAAGCCAGCGCATGTCCAGGCCCGTCTGAAGTTTGCCAATGACCATCTGGATGATCCAGAGGAGGAATGGGAGAAGGTCATGTGGTCTGATGAGACAAAAATAGAGCTTTTTGGTCTAAACTCCACTTGCCGTGTTTGGAGGAAGAAGAGGGATGAGTACAACCCCAATAACTCCATCCCATCCGTGAAGCATGGAGGTGGAAACATCATTCTTTGGGGATGCTTTTCTGCAAAGGGGACAGGACGACTGCACCGTATTGAGGGGAGGATGGATGGGGCCATGTATCGCGAGATCTTGGCCAACAACCTCCTTCCCTCAGTAAGAGCATTGAAGATGGGTCGTGGCTGGGTCTTCCAGCATGACAATGACCCGAAACACACAGCCAGGGCAACTAAGGAGTGGCTCCGTAAGAAGCATCTCAAGGTCCTGGAGTGGCCTAGCCAGTCTCCAGACCTGAACCCAATAGAAAATCTTTGGAGGGAGCTGAAAGTCCGTATTGCCCAGCGACAGCCCCGAAACCTGAAGGATCTGGAGCAGGTATGTATGGACGAGTGGGCCAAAATCCCTGCTGCAGTGTGTGCAAACCTGGTCAAGACCTACAGAAAACGTATGATCTCTGTAATTGCGAACAAAGGTTTCTGTACCAAATATATATATATATAGCTATGTAGCCTATACTGCATTTATATTTCAATACAGTCATCTCGGTTTTCATTTGAAGCGTCTTTATTTCCTTGCAAAGAAATGGGCAGCTTTGTATTTGTAGTCACTGTCACATTCGTTCTGAAGTTATCGGCAGTCACAGAAAGACCGATAAACATCTTGATTTTGTGTTTAGTGGAGATGCAGAAGGGCAAAAAAGCATCTAATGATGTACTTAGATGTTCTACGAGTGGTCCGAGGCATTTTCTAGAGCAACTTTAGTAACTTTGGTTTTGGGAAATGTCGTGAACGTAGCCTTAAGATACTTTTGGGAAACCGGGCCCATTAAGATAACTTGGCTAGTTAGTTGTCTGTGACCACATTCCTGCTGTTAGTTAGACAGCAGGCTGCCATTAGACCACGCACTTCAAGCGATACTTCCTACCACGAAATCTACCACTCAGCAGGAATATGGTGTGGTTCTGACAAAAGTTGGATTCAGATGTTTATTTTATAACAAGGGACGCATTTCACTTCACATCTAGTAAGTAGAATTCCTAGAGATTGTACATATGCCTTTGTTGACAGGAAACATAACATGTTTGGTGAAGCCAGCTATATTCCGTCGCCAGCCACCAGAACGATGCACAACTCAGGGAGTCCAACTAATACACAGACTCCCAATGTTAGCTAGCTAGCTAGATAGTTAGATAGCTGCCCAGCGACAAACAAAGCAACAACTTTTTACCTAAAATAATTCTTACCTTAACATAATATTTAGTTAGCTATTTCAGTTTGGACATTCAAAACTGGTAAAATAATCCAATCTCTGATGACGATGTCATAACATTCTTCTTCTTCTATGATATCATCGCGGTCCGCAAACAATCATTTAAGTGCATGAATGCTGTGCTGGAATGTATGATCAATCATGATCTGCCCAATTCTGTACTACCATGATCAAAACCAAATAAATCCCTACAAACTTCTACCACACCCTCCCCTCAAAACCCCTCCCTATCCCCATTAAACTTGATCTATATCATGCTGAAACACTCCACCATTAGGATGGTTCAGCATGTCAACAACCACTTCACAATAACATCTGTTACCCCCCAATATTTCTTTTGCCGTCTCCATAATAACCTTCAACCTGGCATTTCTGCTTTCCACAACCTGAGTCGTATTGATAACCTTACCAATAAAAGCTATGAAGTCAACTTTATTCATTATCAAAGTGTCATTTGACACCTCACATTCATAAGACTTCTGAACAGGCCTCCAAACCATGCCAGCACCAGCAGAAACACCAGCCCCGACATTAGGTCCACTTAGTACAGGAGCAGCCATGGAAGCGCCAACATTCCACACTGTAGTTCCGCCAATCTGTCTTACAGCCTCTGCATACGATACATCATGACTCATTCTATATCTCTGAGACTCTCTAGCCTCTCTCTGCACCCCCCAAAATTACAACACATTGCTCCCACATTCACCGTAATATGTTCCCATCCATACTTGGCACATCTTTTCCTTCCTTTACATTGAACAGCTACATGTCCCATTCTTTGGCATTTAAAACACCACAATGAGGATGGGACAAATTCTCGAACATTTAAACTAAGGAATCCTATCTGTACTTTCCCAGGCATAACCTTCTCAAACCTCAGCAGCACTGATAGGCTTTCACTTCTTTGACCTTCTTTCCTACTCATCAACCTTTTGGCCTCAATCACTCTTCATCCCTTCACATTTTCTTTAATATCATCTATGGACATATATATATATTGGGATCCCAGTGATGACTTCCCTCAATATAGTATAAGCACCAGGGACATGGCTTTTAATCTTCTTCCCATTAAGCTTTTCCATTTTCAGAATCTTCTCTTGCTGAGCCTGGCTACCACAAAATATTAACAAACTACCATTTCCAATTAACCAAGCTAATTTTACTTTACCTACCTCTTTCTCTACAGCATTAGTTAGCCGGATAGGGTGTACATGAGGACCTGTGGTCTCATCAAACATTGTCACCGCTTTCCACTTCAACACATGATTACTCTTGCTTCCTAACTTGGCCTTTATGCTTTCTTTACTAGACGCTCCACTGCTTTCTGTATCATGATCTCTCTTCTTCCTATGTGGTCCTCTGTAGCTCAATTGGTAGAGCATGGCGCTTGTAACGCCAGGGTAGTGTGTTCAATCCCCGGGACCACCCATATGTAAAAATGTATGCGCACATGACTGTAAGTCGCTTTGGATAAAAGAGTCTGCTAAATGGCATATTATTATTATTATTTCCACTACCGACCATTAAGGTCCTTGACCCTCATCCTCCCGCTCCATACCATCAGAACTGACACCCATATTGTCCGCATTCCAGCACAGCTGTTGCTTCACCAACTTTTTCTAAATTTCGTCCGCACTACTCTTCGCCATTTCTGACTCACTCCTCAATGGAGCACGTTCAGCCAAGTTGTTACGTTGAAATCCTGACCTTGGTCTATCTGTCTGCCTTCGTAGCGATCTAATCTAGATACTTTTGCTACTTTAAGGTGCATTACCGCCACCACCTGGACTGGAGTTTGGACCAGACACAGTGAAGGTCTAAATCCTACCCAATATTCTCGTCTCCCTAAAGGAACGAAATACATAATTAAATACTACATCCCTTGAAGATTTCCCCAGCAGTTCACTTAACCCTGGCTCTTCAACCCCATTACTCCATTACTCCTCACATATTTCTGGCACTGAAATAGAACATGTTCCACTGTCTCCATCTCCTCCTGACAATGATCACACCTCCCAGTTGGATCTTTCCCCACCAATTTCAATGTACTATTGAGCCTTGTGTGTCCCAGTCTCAGCCTCGTGACTACACTTTCCTCCCTTCTCTCTCGGCCTGAGGACCTCCCTGCCCCC